AGGGGGTGAGAGCATGAAAATTACGGCGTTGATTTCTCTGGACCACGCTAATGTATAGATGTGTATATTACCTTACGTATATAAATGCTATGTCGCATGCATGATTTTTTTTTTTACACTGAAGTTGAGTAAAATGAGTACGTTAAAAATTTAAATTTTTTTTTTAATTTTTTGAGTATGCAGTCTTGTATACCATTAAATTTTAGTATAATAAGTGCAAGATTGAAGCGATTGCAAAACTGGCTCTAATTTTTTTTTACTTTTTTTTAAAACGGTTTTGCGCATTTTCTTCCATAAGAAAAAATTGCAAAAGGCCGTCAGCATGAAAAATAAAAAAAGAAATCAGATAAAAAAAAAAAAAAAAAATTTTGCAGTAGCTTAAAACTTGCACTTTATTATACAAAAACTTTATAAGCTACAAGACTGCATACTCGAACAAATTCTAAAAAAAATTAAAAAAAAAATGTAAATTTGTAATGTACTCATTTTACTCAACTTCGGTGTAAAAAAAATTCATAACTCAAATTATTGTAGAGTGCACCCCATAATACTATACTTAAATATTGCGCAATACTCAGAGCTACCATTGTGATTATTTTTTAAATTTTCTTTAAGAAGGCCTATTTTCAAAAACCTTTTTTTATCAAAAAATTTGTATGTGAAAAATAATTTTTTTTTTTTAAATACTTCTTTTCATAGAGAATTTTGATGTGTGTGTGTGATTTTTTGCTCGCCCTTTCTCCAGATATTTGGAAAACTATTAAATCGATTTGTTTTTGATTTTGTGCTATAAAGCTTTTAAAAATTTATTAATCAAGCTCAAATTTCATATTTGTTTATTATTTATGTTTATGCATCAACCCTAAAAATTTGAAACAAATCAAGCACATGAAGTGGGAACCCCGTCCGTTTTGGTATGGAACGCCCCATATACTTTTATAGTGAATACTTAACTTACCTGTGCACTCTTTTAGTTTCTTTAATTACATTTCAACAAAACCCAAATATTTTTCACACAAATATGATTGCAAATGTATTTAATCAATTTCCTAGGTGTATGTATTTACAAAATTTAATACTTTTTAATTCGATCGAAAAATAATCGTACAGTTTCAATATTTGATAAGTTTTTTGGTGTTAGAGATTCTTAAACTAAATTTTGGTTTTTAGTAAGAAATTGATTAAATTTTTAGGAGGCAAGCTTGTTGCAATAGCAAACAGAACTGAAATATATTTACATTTAATTCCATAAAAAAATAAATGTACATACGTGCGTTTTTGCTAACAAGTTTACGTAAAGACAAATGCGTAAATAACACTTTTCCTAATACATATATGTAAATACAAACAGTTTTTTGTATGCCAGTAGTGTTTTATGAAAAAAAATACTCAGCAGAAGGCGTTACAGACCTGAATAATTTATGTATGGAAATAGAAAAGGAATAAGGATTCCAAGCCCAAATTTGGAATTTCAGAATTTAAATTTTGTAGTAATGTCTCTGACATTCAATCTATGATCAATGATCAATGATATATGATTTGTAATTTTTAAAGTGTGATCTACAATTTATGATCTGTGACCAATGATAATATCCTTCCATGATCCATGATCTATGATCAATGATCTATAGTATATGATGCATTATTTACGGTCTATGATTTAGGGCTCATGATTGATGATCCATGATATGTGATCACTGATTCGTGATTTATAAACTTTGATCTATTATCTATGATTTCCATCCATGATCTCTGATCTAGGCGCCTGGTCAATGAACCTCCACATCCACCTTAATGGCTTTGAAACGGATGGTAGAAGTTTAGCAAAGGCTGCGTGGACCCTACTTGTTCTCGGTAAACCGATTATCGCTGATATATCAGCAGTATTACTTCTGAGCTCAGTAAGGTTCTAACTACGGCACACTGGTACAATGATAAGGATATGTCTCTCTTCGTGCTGGTGAGTGTGAATCTTAGTAACTTAAGTGCACGGCGTACGTTCCAGCACCGTCTTTTTTAAGCTGGTGGTGCATTCAACTCCTTTATGGATGCGCGTTAAAGTCGGCGACAGAAGCAGAAAATAAAAGTCCGGTTTTAACAATAAGAACTTACATCGAAAGTTCACAGAAGAAAATAGATCAGTTAGGAAGGATGCGTGATGATATGCTCACATTTTTTAAGGGATGGAAAAACATTCAATGTCAAAAGTCGTTAATAAAAGCGACATATAACGAATCCATCATTGAGATTCTCACAACTCTTGACCCAAGAACGAGTCACTCGAAGTCTGTTTTAAAAGGATGAAGGAGAATTTTTGCTACCTTGGGCTCAGTTTGACCATTGATGAATTCGAAGAAATAATAAAAGCCAACCTACCATTATATTCGCCGGAGATGTTAACGCAGGGCCAGTCGTCGAGAACAACACAACGCGGAAAAATCCGCACTGAAAGCTTGTTTACATGCCCTATACTTCCTAAACAAGTAACCTACACCATACTAGAAACCAAGCCGACTCATTGCGAAAGATCTCTCTTTAGGCTTCGTTTTCTGCGAAGAAAATCACATAAAGCCCATTGGTTCGCAGTATGGATCTGTCACAACTTCATGGATGCAGATTTATACCCATTGGGTCTAGCTTAAAAAAAGGTTATAGATAAAGTTAAAGGTCGAATGTTCTCACAGCTCTAGTGTCTCTCCTTTCGAACAAAATAGAGCTGACCAAATAAAGCGCCAACCTGCGAAAGCGCAAATATTTATCCATGAGGTGATAGCTAAACTTGACAGAATTTTAGATAATGAAGAAACGGGACTGGACAACCATAGGAGAACGGAGGTTATTAATTAGATAGCTCTTTAAGGCATAAAACCGGGTAAGTACCAGGTACTCATGAAATCTAATGTGCAAACATCTGTGTACGGCTTGGCAAAGCCTTATGCGATTAAATTATATGCAAAAATAGGTTAGGTTGGAAACAAACATTAATTTCATTTCGTTTTATTCATTTAGTCGGCACCAGTAGCCGACTTTTCATCGGGATTGGTTTGGAACCAACCCAAAATGGGCCCATACTAGTCACAAACTTGTCATGAAATAGTCCTCAAATGTACAGAAATAGGTTAGGCTGGAAATTAAACATTAATTTCATCTCGTCGAGACCAGTATACTGCGTTGCCATCGCGAATATTTTCGAACTACCCCACAATAATGCTAAACTAGTTTCTGAAATAGTCTTGAACTAGTCTTAAATGGCCCCGAAACGGTAAAAAATGTCGTGATATTGAAGGTGAAAAGATTCCGAAATGGTCCTCTATAAGTCCTAAAATGATAATGAGCTAATGCCAAAATGCTTCGAAAACGGTCTGGAAATGTTCATGAAATAGGCCTGGGTTAGTCTTGAAATGGTCCAGAACTAGTCCCAAAATGGCCCTCAAATAGTTGTCTTGAAGTAACTCTGAAGAGGATCGAAGTGGTCCTTTACTATTCCCAAAAGTAGTTACAAATTTTTAGCTGGGTTAACGCAAATATTACTCATACCAAGAGCTAATCAGAAATGATCTATGATCATCGAACTGTGATCCATAGATCTATAATATTTGATATACTTGCATATAATCTATGACCTTAAATTAATTTATTTCCTGTGATCCATAATCTATGACCTATGGTTACGATGACCATCCGTACCGACTTTTGCGGGACAGTACCGATTTTGAGATAATTGTCCCGCTGAATATTTTTAAAAAATCGGGACGTATAAGTGTCATTTAATTATTTAATGTTTATTATTTTTTTTTATTAAAGTGTACCTCGTTATATAACAAAAACCATTTAAATCACATGTTATACAAAAATTAGCGAAATTCGACAATGTTTATCGAAATTTTGCGCTTTTTAAATATATTTCTTAGAAACTTTACGAGTATGCAGTTTTATAGCCCATTCAATTTTAGCAAAACGAAGTGCAAATTTGGTAATTTTTTTGTGGAAGGTGTTGGCTATTTTCCCATACAAAAAAGATTGTCGAATAAACTTTGTATGGAAGAAAATGCGCGAACAAAAAATTGCCAAAAATCAACGGTAAGCCCAAGCTACTTCGAACTTGCACTTTGTTTTACTAAAATTTGATGGGCTACAAAATTGCGTGCTAAAAAAATTCTAAAAATCAAAAAAAGGTTAAAATTTTGATTGACATTTGTCAAAATTCGTCGAATTTTTGTAAATGTTCTACAAAGTTTGAAATCTTGATTTACATTGTTTTTTTTAGATATTTGTAAGCTATATTTTCATAAAAAGGTCATAAACATTTTTTAAACATAGAAAAGTAGCCAAAACTTGCTAGAATGTCTTTTCACTGTTTATATCCTCGCCACCAGATCACTATTCAAGTGTTTTCACTTTGTTTTGTCTTACATTTTTTATTCTACAAAGAAAATTGTATGTTCGGATTCGATGCTTTAGAAGTATCCCGATTTTCGTCCACAGAAATCTGGGCACAGTACCTATGGTCTAAGTATCGACAATGAGCTATGCGCTATGATCCTAGATCTATGAGCTATGTGCGGTCTATTAGCTATAATTCATGATCTATGATTTATGAACTGTGATCCATGAGGCATGAGATATGATGCGATCCCTGGACAATATACATATGGTTGTGGCATATGGTCTTGAGAAATTGCAAAAATGCTTTTGCATTGAGGTAGTCGGTTTTAGGCGCTTGTTTACATCTTCTGCTGGATTTACCTTATACTTATTTAAAAATGTACGTATGTATGTCTACGTATTGTATTAGCAAACACTTGCATTCTATACGAGCGTAAAAAAAACAAACAAGCGTGATATGTACAAATAACAAAAAATGCCACTAATGCATACATATTTACATAATGAAATCAATCTGATTCAAGCAATAAATCGGTTTCGTTTATGGAACATAAAGGAGCTAAGCCAATTAACGCTAAACCTGCACCATTCTCAACACAATATCGCTTGCTTACCGTGCCATGGCCATTCGCTGTTGTGCCATTTGTAGTCGCAGGCGATGACTGCTGTCCTTGCTGCTGGTGGCCATCCACCGTATCGCCGCCTATTTGTGCTGGCGTTTGAGTCTCCTTCTCCGGATTATGTGGCGGCGCTGACGTTGAAGGCGTCGACGCTGTGCTTTTGCTTGCTGCTTGAACGTCTGCTAAATATTTGAAAGCGTAAAAGAAATAAGTTGTTTTGGTAATAAATGAAATAGGTAAGTATTTAAAAAAAAATTTTAATAAAAAAGAATGTAAAGCTTTCAAAATTAGCTTCCATTCCGCTACATACCACCACTGCATTGTTTTGTTGTCGGTGTTGCTGCTGTTGCATTCGACTTGTCCTTCTCCGCAATTTCTTTACTTCCCTCCTTCGTTTTCGTTTCTTCGTTGGTGGCACCACCACCACCTTCGCTTGGTTTTTCATTCGATTTTTCAGTTGCATCTGCGCTAATTTCTTTTCCACTTGCCTGCCTTGTCTTATCCTCATTTGCCGCCTGAGCGCCTTTCTGTAGTGCATTCGCACTAATCTCTTTCTGCTCCACCTGCTCTTCACGCTGTTCTGCTTCCAAAGCTTCGTCTAAGCTCTTGTCCACTTCCGCTTTTTTGTTCGCCGCACTGACCAAATCGTCGCCTTCATTGTCATCATCATCATCGTCTTCTTCCTCTTCATCGATGCGTGCATCAATATGACCCAGTGGTATATCGCCATTTTTCTTCGTACTTCCATTCTCCTTGGCCGGCGGTGTTGTTGCAGCAGCAGCCGCAGCTGCTGTTGTAGCTGCGCTGCCATTTTTCAAAATACCCACAAGTGGCGCTCCATTGCCTGGCTTCTTTTCATCTTGTGGCAACTGCCAGCGGGAGAAAGAGAGAACAATGTAAATTACAGTTTAATTGGAACTAATCACCTTTTCAATTCCAATTCTGCTTTTGCGTTGTGCTCCCACTACAATACACACACACATACACACTTACCTTTTTGTAGCCGTACGATTGTGTGCCGGTTACCCCTGGCGACTCATGCATTTTCGTCGCTTGCTCCTTTGACCAAATGATGTCCTCGTCAGTTTGTCGCTCGATGCGTTTCTTATAAGCTCGATGACTGCGGTACACTTCTATGAGGCAGCAAATTACTATGATCACAAAGAGTGAAGTCAACGTTATGAATACCACTTGTGTGGAATCTTCCTTCTCGGAAACGTCATAGCCAAATTGAGCTACGTAGAGTACACGTTGCGGTGGATCTTCCACCCAGGCTTCGGCGCTCTGCAATGGTTGGTATTTGTATGTTTATGCGTATATATGGATGAGTGCTTGATAAATGGAAAACTGGTAAAGCTATCGACCGCTGGCAGGTTTCGACACATTCTAATTTATGCAGCGAATAGCAACATTGAGTTGCTGAGTTCCAGCAAGCCAATCAATTGCCGCCAACATCAGCCAACAGGCCCAAGAGTCTAATGCAATTACTTAGTTTTGCGTGGCATCGCTACTGTTTGTGTCTTTACAATTTCAAAATTGTAGTTAAATTGCCACTACTACTGTTTCTGGGCGGGCTTGCCGTTCTCATACCTAGGACCTACTATATGCAGATATTCTCGTCAATTACTTACCAAACTCACGTTGACCATTGGTTCTTGTGATGGTTGCTCTGATATATCAAATTTAGCAATACATTGTGCGCTGCGTAGACCCTGCGGATGAATTACCGTAATATTATCGGCACCTGATTTAGTGAAGAGCATATATTCCTCAAGCGGCTTCATGACGTAATTGTTCACTTGTATGTAGATATCTAGAAAATTGAATTAGTACACACATATACATACACATATGGGTAAGTTTATTAAAAAAGCAATATACTCGTATCATAACAAGAAAACATATATTTTAACGAAATAAGCAATCAAACGACAACAATTAAAACTAATTAGAAAATTTTCACTAAGACCTTGTCCTCGAGCCCATATTTTTAAAAATTATAGAATTTATTAGACATTACATATACAGTTTTTAGAAAGCCTTAAAAAGCTCTGCATGTTGTAACCCCTTTATTCTGAAACAGTGAATCGATGAAATGCTGTTGCCTTGTGTCTGCCAATTTAAGACCAGTCATGACCAATTAATAGATTTTTTATGAGCGAGCATAGTGTAAAAGCTCTCTGGTCATTGCTGATCTAACATAACTTAAATAACCAAAGAGCTTTTACTCCTCGAGCTTTTATATGAAACCATAGGAAGCTCCAAAAAGCATTCCTCCAAAATGGGTTTTGGTCTACTAGAGCGCCATAGTTTCAAAGTGTAAGACAGTGACTACTAGAGCGGATTTCGGTGTATGAATTCTAGTGAACATATTTACAAAATATAAAATTGAAACCTTTTTACATGATTTCAAGTACTTTTACAGGGCAATTCTGACTAAGATAGTTGAAAGTCTTTTGTAAGACAATTGAGTGGCAGTAGGATAGGCGCATCCATATAAGGTGGTATTTTGTTATTGCTTTTTGGTACCTGATGACTAAACGAAAAAAATAGCAGAAACTTTTCGCCATATCGTTTTGTTGACATTCTAAAGTTACGCCATTTCGTCTTGGATAACATTCTGCTTTACTAGCGCAGAGACAAAAATATAAAATAAGCCATTCTAGTAACACCACCTTGTATAGATGCGCTTTGGCAGTAGGCAAGATAGTTTGAAAGATTTTGTTTATTCTGGCACGAAAGTCTTACAAAACAAGCTCTTTTGACAGCTGCTCCAACAGTCCCAATAGTCGAGTGAGCAAAGCTCTGGCGTGCGATTCAAGAGATCTGAGGTTGGAGTCCTCGGGCAATGGAATTTTTTTTCTTTGCTTTTTAATTAAATTTTCATTTAATTTTTAGATTTTATATATATATGTACTTATTTTTGGAATGCATTCAAGTTTTAGAAACTTATTTTATTTTCTTATTAGCCGACTTCAAAAGAAGAGGAGGTTATCAATTCGCCGGAATATTTTTATTATTTTTTGTGTATGTTACCGCATAGCGTAGGACCACGTTAGTCGATTTTAAAGGAAAGGTGATACCTTAGAGGTGGTTCCATAATAATTTGGTTTAGATCCGATCATTTGATCATGAAGAAATTAACGGTAATCTTAAATTTTTATATGAGAATTGAAGTCGGTTTTGTTTTTTGCTTAAAAATTACTTGCTTTTATCTATTTTTTTTATAGAACTTATAGAATGTGTTGTTTTGAAAGGAAAAAAGTTTTTTTTTTTATTTCATTTACTTTTTTTTTAAATTTAGTTTCTTTAAATTTCTAGGATTACTAATATTGCTTTAAAAACACATTTTTTAAATCATTTAAATTTTAGGACCTTATTTAATTTTTTTAAGTTTTAGTTTAATTTTATTTAATTGTTAGATTATATTGAATAAAGAGAAAAATATTTTTATTTATTTCATTTAATTTTTAGGAATTTATTTTATTATTTTAAAATAATTTTCTTTTGATTTTTAGATTGTTCGGTTTAAAAGAAACGTAGTTATCTTGAATTTTATTAATTAATTTTTAAATATTTTTTTTTTTTAAATTTTAAATTATATTGTTTTAAACTGAAAACTATTTTTTTTTTAATTTTAAGGGAACAACTGTTTAATAATTAATTTTTGTTTAAATTTTTAGATATTTTTAAATAAACATATTTTTCTTTATTTTATAAATTTAAATAGTTTTTAATTGTTAGATTTTATTGTTTTAAAAAATATTTTATGTGTTTTTTAATTAAATGTAATTTTTAGTAATTTATTTAATTTTTTGATAATTTTTTTTTTAATGTTTGGATTATATTACACCAAAATTTTTTTTTAAGTTTAATGTAATTTTTAGCAATTTTTTTATTTTGAAATTTTTTTATTAAATTTAATTTTATTTTAAAATGTTATTGTTTAAAAAGAAAAATATTTTTTAATACCATTTAAGTTTTAGAAACTTATTTAAATATTTTTCTTTTGTTTAGTAAATGTTTTCCGTTTTTAAACTTAATTTTCTTTTAACTTTTAGTTTTTATTTTTTTTTTTAAAGAAAACAGGAGATACTTTATTTTTTATTTTTGGAATTCTTATTGCCAAAAGAGAAACAGAACAGAAAAAACGCTTTGACTCCTCATGCAGATCTTTTAATTAGTCTTTCAAAAGACAGAAACGACTTTTTTCAGGGAGAGCTTTTACATTAGCTTTTCCCGCAGTAAATCGTGACCGGTCCGCACAAATTTTAAGGAAAGGTGGAAAAAGCTCGTTTAGCATTTGTTTTAGTCGTCACTGATTTAAATATTCTACCGACTAAGCGTCGAACTTAGATTCTTTCGACTTGTAAGTAGTAGGAAAATGTACATTAAGGGCTGGTTTTTCCTACTTAACTTAACTTAGTTTAGCTATTTTTTGGACTTAGACAAGAATATTCTGATTAAAAAGTAGGCAAACTCAATCAGCTTATTCTTGACTAAGTCCAAGAAATGGCTAAACTAAGTTAAGTTGAGTTGGAGAAACCAGCCCTAAGAGTATGTTGTCTAAGCTTAGAAGTCTCCTGGGCGTGTTCAGATGTAGAGACCCTGTGCGGAACGTTAGTGATTAGATTACTGTTTTATTTATAAAGCTTTCTTTGATCATTATTTAGTTTTTGTAGTGAAGTCCGATCTTAGTTCTGAGTTCAATGGCTACCTTGGCGGCAGCGTTTTTGGTTCTGATACACTCTTTTAGCCTTACTTTTGACACTTTGTTTTAGCCTCAAGGGCGCATTGAAAAAAATTTTGTAGAATGCCTGCGAGTCCCAATTCTGAGCTAAGCAATGGAAGTGGCTTTAAGATCCTATTCAACGCTGCGATAGCTGAGATTGACTAAGATAGATCAACTTAAAGAACTTGATAAAAGCACAAGTTGGAAAGAACGATTCTCACCTTCAAGGAGAGAGTACAGAGTTGCGGAATGTCTTGAAAGCTTGTAAAGAAACCCCCCAACCCAATAAGATAACTTTAGGTGGAAGTTTACGGTAGTCTTTCTGGGCATTCACTTAACTATAAACAGTCTTATGTGATGAGAAAGTGTTTCCAGATCTTCAATGCTTATGCTGCTTGTGTTCGTTCTTTGTATCTTTATTTTCGCGTTAACTGGTCAAAATCTCAATTTCCCGCAAATCGATGCCAAATTAAGATACAGTTTTTTCACTCCATACACCTTCAAAATATATTAAATCCGAATAAAAGTGCTTCCTTTACTGACTTGAGTCCGTGCTAATGTAGCCATTTAACCTCTGAGGCGAAGACAGGCCAGAGCCTGTGCCAGTGCCTCCAATAAATTCAGTAGCCAGACAGTAGCTGCGGTTGTTTATTTAAGTTAACAATTTGGTTTTTTTCTCTTTACGTATTTACGCCCTTAGCGTGTTTTTTTTAACTTTACTTGTTTCCACGTTTTATGACCGTAAAGTTGTTTTTGTTTGTTTGGTAATAAACGTACATCATGATGAAGCTACAAATCTAAGAAGGCGAAAGAGTGCTTAGCGTTGGAAAGTGGCTATGAATGAAAGGGTGAATGGTGAAAACCTTGGTAATTTTTTTTAACTTTAAAGTAATATTTTTTCCTGCTGTTGTTTTCGGACGAATAATTTTTTTTGAAATGAATGAATTGCCCAAATCTGATGTAATTAGTAAAAAATGCCTTCACGTATTATATGTAAGGTTGTAACTTTCAAATAGATGGCAACCCCACCAAAAAATTAAAGAATTGTACATCTGGGGATAATATCCTTTCACTTGTTTTTTTTTTATTGAAAGAACTGTGAAAATCGGATGTATCTAATTAATCAAAATGTGGTAATTATTAAATAAGTGGCAACCCCACTCAAAAAAAAATTAATACTTTTTGCACATCCGGAGACAATCACCCTCATTGCGAGAGTGGTGTCGTATGCAAGTCGTTTTTCGAGAGTCGAATCGTATCGCAAATTGCACGTCATTGCCTAAAATTTCCATTCGACTAGTGTATTAAAACGGAAAAACTTGGCAGCACTGTATAGTTTTCGACGATTTTCGTCATTTACTTATTTCAGCACGATAGTAAACAATGCCAATGTTGTCGAGTCGTACAATTTAGCCTAATATACGACTTACGCAATGAGGCTGAATATCTTTTTACTTGATTTCTAATTTTTTAGTCCAACGAACGGTGAAGATCTCATAATTAAAAAAAAGTGGCAACCCTACTCAAAAAATAACACATTACTGAACATCTAGACGACAAGCGCTTTCATTTGACATCTCACTTCTTGTAATTCAATGCAAGGATCTATACGTTTTTAGACAGGTGGTAACCTTATAGAAATACTATGCACTAAAGATAATACCCCTAACGATATAGAACATATAAAACCAAATGGTATCCAAATCCGTTTAGTAGCTTTCGAGATTAGCGTGGTAAACAAATCTTGGTATTGCTTTATACTGCGTTAGGATAGGATAGTAATTTCAAATAGGTGGCTACCCTACTCAAAAAAATTAAAGTTTTTGTACACGCGAAGGCCATGCACTTTCATTTGGTATCTTACTTTTTTATCCAACGAACGGTGAAGATCTAATAGTTTTTAAACAGGAGGCAACCCTACTCAGAAAAATAATACATTATTACGCTTCTAGAGGCTTAGTAGTTTCATTTGACAGTGACAGTGCAGAACTGATGCCTACATTTATTAGGATTTAATATAGTAATTTTCTTAACAGGTGGAAACCCTATTCAATATATAAGACATTCGCGCTTTTATAGAGGCCAATCGCTTTCATTTGACTCCCTATTTTTTAATCCAACGAACGGTGGGGATCTTATAGTTGTTTAGACAGGTGGAAACCCTATTAAAATTCTAAATAGATACAGAGTATACTAGAGAAAATCTCATAAAAATCCGTTCAGTACTTTTCGTGATTACCGCGTACAAAGAATCTCGACTTTCCTTTATACTATGTATAGATATAAATTTTATAACATCAGTGAAAAAACCACAATTTTTTCGGTGAGGAACCCTAATGTATATACACAAATAATCGTGAACGAAGATTCAGTCTAAGGACGTTGTTTGCGCCATTGGTGGGAGTTTAACAACGTTAAGTTTGTTGTTTTTGATAGCGACTCTGATGGAACTCAAGAGGTTGTTAAAACAGGGAGAGTAAGCGGTAAGCTTTGTGTGCGAATGTACATAGTATATCTGCTTGTGAGCACCCAGTGAGTAAACCTACCAAATTGGTCAAATGACCCCAGGAAGAGAGCAGCAAAATGGAAATGCAACCAAGATACTCCACAGATCGAGGCCCAACTCTCGGCAAAAGGGTTTTGTGCGGGCAGCAATAGTGATCTGCAACCTATACCGAAGTATCGATCACCATTTTGGTCGACCACCTAGTTTGCGATGCCCGTGGAAAAGAAAATATTTTCATTGCCATTGATTTAAATGCATGGGAACTCGAACAGGGCAAGGTGAGTCAATAAAAAACTTTGCCGCGCTTGATATTTTCCTTCTTAACACGAACCATCAATGCACTTTCAACAGAGCTGGCCGGAAGTGGGTTATAGACCTGACCCTCTTTTCAACTGACGCCAACTGGAAATACCAAGTGAAGCCTGGTCCTTATCCACTCGGTCCTTCCATCGCTGTGAGGGCCTTTCTCTTCCTCTGCTACTACCAGCGGGTTCCGATTTGAATGCTTTCAGAGAGGATATTTTAAGCATAAAACGAATTTGCTGTAATCAAAAATAAAGAACAGCAAACGTGACTATTTCCTAAGTCTCTGCGACGACGCATAAACGAATGCCTGGGGACTCGCGTAAAAAGTAGTGAGGAACCAAGTAACCCAGCCTAAATGCCAACTTCTCCCTTTAACCGAACCGTCTCACTTCCACCCACTCGGTGGGAATAATCCTCGAGTGTATCATTTAGAACCGTCTAAATAAATTCATTGAAGACTTCTGGTGACCTATCGCCATGTCATTTCTTACAGTATCCGAAGAGGCAGCCTTGGTTGTCGCACGCCTTCATCCGATAGAACTTTTGGCTAAAGAAACCTACCTTGAAAAATCGGATTAATTATCACTAAAATTGAAAAATAAAAGAAAGTAAGGAGAGAAATTTTGTCGAACTGGCTGTTGGAACCACCATTCAAGCCATTCTCATGGAGAGGAAAATGTTCATTTAACCTAATTGCTTACACGTTACGGCTGTTTAAGGTTTACTTAAAAAGTTTCTACCGAAGATGTTAAACACGTATTCTTCTGTTGCAACAAGTTCGACAGAGAGCAAAATTATTTGCAAGATGTCTTTAAAGGAAATCCAGCACCGGAAAATATTGTTGCAAATATACTTGAATCCTCAGAAATCTGGAGCGCGGTTTCGAATATAGCAGCAATAATCATAAACACATTCAGAAAAGCTGAACAAGACAGAAGAAGAGTCTTGGTAAGTTAAACCAGTATCTTGACCCATATGGACGATCGGGTTGTGGTATGAAATGGCTAACAACTGAATACACTAAAACCGTAACGTATGTATATGTGAGCTTTGCGCTCAAACCGCCTGCCGCAGAAAGACTTAGCGGTAGCACCGGAGGGACAGTTGGAGGTTTAGTTCGAGTTATAGTCCAATACTGATGGGGTATACAGGCTTAGGATGCTTTCCCTCGTTAAAAAATTGTAAATATGTAAATTTTTAACTCTAAACATAAGACTCGCCCTAATGCCATATTTAATGCATTACAGCCTCTATTTTTTCTCACACTCTTAAATCATGATCATTTAAAGTTCATGGTTTTGAACTAGAATAGCATTAGTGGATTTTTCTGCTGGCTAAACTCACGCAAACTTATGTATGCACACAAGCGTATATGCTCCCAGTAGTAAAACGCACCAGTGGTGCGGTTCTAGAGAATTTACAACCACGAAGGAAGAACAATAACAACACGAATGTCTTCTGTAGAACCAGTTAGAAATAAAACTTTTAGTTCGTTTTTTTTAGACCACGATGTATTTTTAATTGTACTTGCTTCAAAATTAAATTTTTCAGAAAAGCAGTGGATTTGCAGTTTTTTGCTCTAAGCTCGCGAAATAAAATTTTAAAAAGTAAAATGAAATAGGTTTGTAAAGTACGGCAGTTCGCGGCGTTGGGACTGGGGATGATCTACCTAACTACTATCCGACTGGTTCGTTTTTGGTCATAAAGCACTAGTACGGAACTAAAAATTTGGTTCATTAGCTCGGATTTTCCCTGCAGTGCTTTCACTGACTTCCACTCTCCGGCACCAATCAAGTGTAGCCAATACGCGCGCTGTTGAATATGTGAAGTGTTTGTTGTTTTTGGCATGTGCATGTGCGTAAATGGATATCAAGTACCAAAAACGCAGAGTAATACCGACAACAACAACAAGTACTACTGCCACCACATGCATATATATATCCTACGAGAAAATGCAGTGAATGAAAAGCGGTCATGGCTGAATGGGCCTATATGTGGATACTCGCATCTAGTATGTATGTAGTATTTATGTATGTAACTATGTATGTACATTTGTGCGTTAGTGCGGCAGCAATGCAACAACTTGAGTCCGTCAAGTGAACCCTCGTCAGGAGCTTAGCGAAGCTTTAAGAATTAATAGCGCATTGCTGGAAAATTTATACTCGGTCTCTTGACAGCATCAGTAGGCGAACAATACATACTATGTACATTAGGGTGGTCAAAAAACAGTAAAGTCGGAATTGTGATGCTCTCGCCCCCTAGGTTTGTTTTATATCGAAAAAAAGTGTACCCCTATTTTTTCGTTTTGAAATCAGAAAATATTTAGAGGACGCTCAAAGCGCTCAAAATTTTGCATGCATTTTTATATGAGAAAAATAAAATTTTTCGTAGAAATGGTATAGAATTCTTAAAAAATCAATATTTTTCGATCGGAAAACTGCGGTTCTCTTCAGGAGACTTTCAATAATAATACCCAATTGATTTTTTATTGGTCTCCCCATTGCATTTTTCGAGGTTTTTGTGGGTTTTTGGCGAACCTTTAAATTATAGTTGCCATGAAAAAATGGTTAAATAAATAAATGGTTATTATTGTTGGGAATCTCCTGCAGATAAACAGAGTTTTCTCGTAGAAGATATTGACTTTTAACTGTTCTACACCATTTCTACGAAAAGCTGTTTTTTCCTCATATAAACTAAATGGAAAACTTTTGGCGCTTTGAGCAACCTTAAAATATTTTTTGATTTCAAAATAAAAAAAATAAGGGTATATTTTGTCGGTATAGAACAATCCTAGGGAGTGAGAGCATAAAAATTCCGACTTTACTTTCTCCCGTTTTTCGCATTTTTGGACCACCCATATGTAAATGTGTAGTTATAGCTACCCTGCTGTGAAAAACCAAACCAGTAAATAAATATCAGGGCTGCATACTACTAAAAAAAAAACGGTGCGGTTCGGTTCAGTGGTTTGAATCACTAAGAAAAATCTTTTACCGGTTCAAGAACCGGCTCATGGGTGTTCTCGAACCGCGGTTCGGTTCGGTTCAAAAGGTAAAATTTTTTTAATGCTAAGGGATACAAATATTACAAATCTATGTATGTATATAAAATATAGAAGGCTTTCTTTTTGAGATCAAACTCAAACATCCACAGTTAGGTATAAATATTAGTGGAAAAATAAATACGGATGCGAAATTTTAACAATTTTGGCTATATTTTTTCGCTTATGTAAAGTTTACTTTTTTTGTATAGTTCGTCGACCAACTAAAACTGAATAAATCCAAGTTTAAAAGTTTGTGAAAATTCTTCAAAGTTCCATCTACGTTGCAAACTTTTTAATAAGAATTTCTAGAAACAAATTTTAAAGTTTAAGTTGATTTTTGGAAATTTCGATTTGAATTTTTTTGCTGGCGGTAATAACTATTCATTTTCTTCCATATAAAAACAATTCAAACATTTTTTATAGGACAAATTACAACTCACAGAGAGGCCATTAAACTCAAAAATGTTTGCAGTCTTACCATAGGGTTGAATTTTTTGACAAAGTTGTGTATTACAAAACTTGTAAAATGCTTTAGTGCATTTTTAACCGAACAAAACCATTTTTTGGAGTGGTTTTCGGTTTGTTTTTGGTACTTCAATATAAAATTGGTTCGGTTCGAAGCCTCGTTCGGTTCAAAAACCGGCTCGGTTCAAAGCCGGTTTGCAGCCCTGATAAAAATACCAGTTCATTAACTAGTATAAGCTAAAGCGATGGCCTACCAGTTCGACAATTTCGAACTTCTTATGCCATCAAAACTATTTGTTTTTGAATTTTCAAAGTCAGAAATGAAACGCAATTGCATATTTGCTTTCCTCACAAATGTCGGCCGTGGCGCCGCGTGCAGGATACCGGTTCTGGTTCGAGTCCGCCTGGAGGTGGTTATGATTTTTCAAATTGAATCGATGCAATTTAATGTAATTATTTCAATTTAAATATAAATTACAAATTAGAAAGCCTTATTTATTTTGAGAAAAAACATACTTGTGCCATAAAAGTTAAATGAAAAAAAAAAAATATTTTTTAAAAATTAGACTAAAAAATTACAATAAAAAGCCTAAATAAAAAAAATGAAAAAAAATTTTTCAGCCCAAGAACTCCAAGGGGTTTTTGTTAAACAAATTTTTCACCATTCACACGTGTAAACTCACTTAAGCACCCACAAACACTGGGCACTCACTCACACCAACAAACAAGCTTCCAAATTTTCTACTTACTCGACAAACATCCACTGTAGCTCTTGAACACAGCAAATCTCGCATCTGTCGTATTGATGCCACCAATTTGTACCCGATTTCCGCCCGCACCACTCGTTGGCACCGGTGCACGTGTCTGTATCTTTGTCAATGGCACCTTTTCGCGGTCAATATGCAGTGTGGCATCACTGCCATTGCGTATATAGTAGATGGAATGGCGTGCATTATTCAGAAAGCTTCGTTCGATTTGTGCACCCACCGCCGGTCCTTCGCGGTCCTCTTCGAATAACAGATGACCATCGGCGTTAATGGCTACCATCAGGTAATAACTGCGATCACCAGTCGGTTGCAATAACAACATCACACGATTGGCACGTCGCAAATCGAAAGAGGAGAATGCCAATTGCAATAGCACAAAGTCCACTTTGCCGGTAAGTTCGAATTTACGCAACAATGTCGATTCGCCACTAAAATCGGCACCCTTCTCTTCCATGCAGAATTCACCCAAAAAGCTGGTGTGTTCACAATCGCATGTCGACTCCTGTTTGGCGAAATTCTCCTTGCATATGCCACCATTTTTGCAGGGCTCAGCATCACATTTGATTTGGCAATTTGGTAGGACACCGTCCATAGCTGAAAAGATGTGAGAGGGGAAAGCGTGAAGGTTATTAGCAAATGATAAAGTAACGATTGTATGTGTGACTACATACAGTGGTGGGCATAAAGTATAATATCAAAATAATTTTTAAATATGCACATTATTCACCTTTATAAAATGTCCGGAAATCTTTTCTTTTACTTGCTGACCTTGAATATTTACATGAAGGAAGTTTTTATTTTCAGAAACAGCGAATAAAGTTAGAAGGACGAAATTCGAGGATGCGGTCGAGTGCATGCATATAAGTCCTTAACATGTAGTTTTTTTGCAAATAATTGTTATAAAATTTCAAGGATATTCAATGATAAAATGTGAAAAGGACATTTGAAATACCTAATCGTCCTTATGCACCAAAAAATTTAATCGGCCTTAATTCTACAGAATTTTCTCATACTGTTTTTCTACAATGCGCTTTTTTAAATAATTTTTTGAGGTAATTATATGTATTTTTCAAATTTAAGTCCTTAAAAAAAAAAAACTCTGACGTCAGAGAAAAGCTAAAAACGCAGTTTTACTATATTTGGCCCATGGTTTCGAAAATATATAAAAATGTTTGTGTATAAAATTTACTGTCTCACGATGTTATAACTGCCAGTAATTACGAGCGTGCCGAAGCGCGAATACGCTGACTGTTAACTTGATGACAGGAGACCCATTCGATTTGCATTCATATTCATACTAAACTCTGCATTTGTTGATGCCAATGTTGTTGATATCTTTGCTAAGAGACTAAGTTGGAATTCTCACCCAGACAAGACGCTTACCAAATCCACCCAAACTATTTTGGCTGTAGCAGACTTTTTAGTCGAACACTGAGTCTGAACTCTAAGTTAATAGAATGGATATGCCGTACAATAGTCCCTCCGAAAGTTGCGAGACTTCTGCCTACATGCAAAAATAAATCTGTTTTGCAGAATATTCCAGATTAAAATCCTAGACCGACAGGTACTTATGGTGTAATGGATATCCTTATCTTGCTCCAAAAAATATGTACATTGGTACACAGACGTGACAAGGATGGAGGACAGAATAGGTGCTGGTGTTTATGAATCCACCACTAGTCTTTCAGGTCGAGGTGCTAGAAAATCTGTACATACCTGTTCGAAATTAAACCTTGGAAAGTATTTGAAAGCCACATTTGTAGTTATCTTTTCACATAGCAAATTGATCACCACAAGTGTTTTGATTCTCTTTAGCAATCGACATCGAATGTTCAAATATTCGATTCGTCGAATTTTCGATGGTTTTAAGTGCCCTAAGGCCAGTAAATAGCTTATCGATATTCAGTTAAATACTCTTATTTCATACAATTTCCGCCAGCTAAATTTTTAGTCCACTAAAATCAAGGATCCTTAAGATCAGTAATGAAATTTATAGCTACCGGTAAATTTTGATTTCGAATTAGAATGTGATGGAGTTACATAAAATATTTAAACGAATATTAAAATAAATGATAAAATTGTAATGATAGGTAATGAAAGTCCGCGAGCTTTTAATGCATTTGGTAAATGCGCTCCATTAAATCATTCAGATTTTGTGATTTATGATATGCGCTTAAGTGCGTAGAACTTTATAGCATTTCCTGTGCTATGCAATATTTATGATCCGCATAGATGTCTTCAATTATTTTTTATTGCGCTGCATGTAGTGATACTCGCACACACATACATACATATGTACACATGTGTACTCCATATCCCTTGTACCTCAATTGCAATTCTCAATAAATTTAAAATCGCTATAAATCAATGTGAATCAATTTCTTAGCCCACCACAGAGAAGAGCTTTGTTGCCCGGTTGATCATTTGGGTACCACCACCATTTTTCGGTATGGCATTTTAGCTGTGTATGTCGCCGTCTAAACAAGCCGGCACTGGCGTATAGGACACTGAAGCATATTCAATATGTACATATGTATTTCCAACCACATTGAAAATTTTATTGAAAATCTCTGCGCAACCATTCTGCACTTTTGCGTTTACATACAGACATATGTACATACGTATGTACGTTTACCCACTGCATCCTCTTATCCGATTAGCATTAATCTTTGGCAGTAATGACCATGCAGCGGACGCACGAATATGCTTAGGATATTTGGTACTTTTCACCAAGTAAGTATGAATGTATTCACGCGCATTAGGGTACCTCCTCCACAAATTATTTTGTAAAGTTCCAGATCTAGTACAGGCTAAAAATTCGTTTCGAATCTTGTTGCACAGTGTAATTAGTATTATTTTATGATTTCAAAAATACTTACATCGTACTATCTTTAAGCTAGTCGAAACAGCATAGTTGCATAGCAAATATTGCAGTTACTATATGGTCAGCCCTAATGCTTCATAAAAGTCTTAAATTTGTTTATTTTCAAAACTTCTACAACACACACGCGCGCACATAAAAATGCAGTTATATTTCCGTCGTAAAACCAACTATTTACCAATACCAATGAGTCCTTCGCAGGAACTATCCACCAACGAAAAAGCTCACTCTGCATCGCACGCATGTGCAAATCCCTGCCGCTCAACAGCGTATGTGACTTTTTAAAATTGAATTTCCTCACCAAAGCGCCAAGTGCAATTTGTGTTAGTTTTGCAATTGTATACATTTACCCAACTGCATAAACATGCACTATATTAGGGTGGTCTTCCAAATTATCTACAACTAAATTTTCTATAGGCCGCCTATTTATTTTGCTCTCCACGAAAATTTAAAAATTAAAAAAAAAAAATTTTGTGGTCGCTTTTGGGATTCAAAAAATTTGAATAAAATCAGAAATTCCCAAAATTCGACAAAATTTTGACTTGAAATCTGATAAATTTGACATATTATTTATGTAAATTCATAAACTCGCTGAGTGATAGCTGGTGAAATTCAAAATTTTGTCGAATTTGTGGAATTTCCAAAAAAAAAAAAATCAAACTCTGGCAACGACCACTATTTATTTATTTTCTTAATTTTCAAATTTTCGTGGATGCATTTATTTTGTACGTATAACCAAATGTAGTGGTGCTCCTTGATGTGGATATTTTAAGGCCCGCCCTAATGTACATATATACATAAATGCGTACCTATATAATGTAGTATATAGCAATGGCATTTCTGTTTACTTACTAGGCGAAATATTCCGTTCGTTGATGTCAGCCAAGTCGATTAAATTTGTGCCAATTTTCAGGCCACGCACGCAGCCAATATATCCCTGCAGTGCTGGAGAGTCTAGATTGGGCCGCAACAAATTCGCCGGATCATAGCCACCAATGTTGAATTGGAAGTATTCAGTGGGTGGAGCGGGTGGCCGGTGTGGTGATAGGACCTCTGAAAAATAAAGATAAAAAGTATTGGTGAATTGGTCAATTGAATGTTTATAATCAAAAACAGTGTTGTAAGGTAGTAGATTTTGAAGGAGGTGGAAGAGTTATGCGATATTACTGTATAAAATTTTGAAATTATTTAAAAATCTCTCTTTGCGATTTTTTGTAAAATATTAAGTCGGTGGGGTCAGTTTTGAGAATTTTACGATGTAATAGCTTTGTCGAGAGTCTAGAACTACGGTCGCTTTGGCTCATTAGCGGATGCCCCTTAGAACACCCATAAAATGGCAACAACTGCGGATTTTAACCATTTTTTCATACATCGTTTGAGAAGTGCCTCTTGCACTTGTGAAGGTGTTATGGTAAGTAGGCGAAAGGAAATTCTAAACAAGAACAATCTTCATCTTCATCTTCATCTTCATCTTCATCTTCAAATTGATGTTTGCGTTTACACCCAAACGGGGGAAAGAAGGTTTCCCTTCAAAAACCTGACAGAGGCAATTACTTCCGTCGTTTGTGTCTGGACTTAAGAAACTAGCCTAAGAAGATCTTGGCTGCATTTGAAAATCCTTAACAAAATTAAGATAGGGCCGGAAAACTGACTACCTTCCGACTTACAAACATACTCTTACGTAGGTTAAGTGAAAATTCACAAAGGTTCTTTAAAAAGACCGAGTTTATCATTCGATATAAAATGCCGAAGGCGAGAATCATATTAATGGTCAATAAAATTTCAGGATAATGAATAAAATGCAAATAAATGTTGTTTTAGGTTCAATATACCGCATACTATTGAAATCTAGGAATACAACAACTAGTACATACCTTTCTCTGGATTTATCCATGGCTTATTGCTATACTCATCCAATAGCATCATGCCTCGCTCCACACTTACGCTCTGTTCGTTCACATGCATGGTTGTGCGATGCTCCTCTCGTTCAATGGCCACTTGAATGCTATTCAAACTGCTCACCGTTTCATCAACGATAGTCAAATTAACAATTTCATCACCATAATTATAGAGGAAAACTATTTCACGTCCAGCGCTCACATATAAATGCACGAAATTGTTGTAATGATCATTTGCATAGAGAACGAGAGCATTCGTATCGTAGGTGCGCAAATTGATAAGGATATTCTCGGTTAGAATGCCTTTGATAATATCACGCTCCTCATTGATGCCATAGATGGAGTAGGCGGCGGGTAGGAAGGGTGGCGTCGCAGCCGGTGTACTTAAGTAATTGCGCATCAAAAATGATTCACGTGTAATGAAAGTGAGTGCCTTCTCGTTGATATCTGCAAGTAGGGGAGAGAAGATTGAATACATACTTCAAGTGAATGCTAAAGTTATGCAATTTTTTTTATAATTTGTGTATTTATGTATGTAAGTGAGTGTATGTATATGTAAGTTTGTTTTGGCGCTTACTTGTCTCGCAAAACTCGCCAATATGCGCCCAAGGATTGCTGCACACACACTGGAATGTGCTCCACAATTCCTTACATTGCGCGCCATTTTTACACGGTGATGGCACACAAGATGGTTTGCAATCCTTAATTATCTCCGAAAGATGTACGGACATATAGCTGTAAATGTCGAGTATTTCACCGTTGACGACTAGGCCGCGGAAACAACCAATTAAGCCAGCCTTAACAGATAGCTTCTTCAGCAGGTCACTGACGTGTTGGTCGAAGATGTTTGTATTGCATGAAAAGAAGAAGAAGTTGAAGTTAATAAGGAATGGAATGATATATATATATAAATAAAATTAAATTAAGTATGTAGGTATGTAGGTTCAGTTTTATTTAATCAACCCAAGTACTCTTTGTATTGCAAGGCAAACAGAGGAGAAGATGGGTGACCTGCAGTGTAGACAACAAAATTTAACAAAAGTATGCTAAAATAACAGTTTTATGAAAACATCTTTTCCGAATACAGATTCTTTAAATATTAATTTATTATCTAAATGTTTTTTATTTACAGCAAATTTCACGAAAGTAATTTATGTAAGTGAAAAATGATTTTAATTTTATGAATCTTATATGGAAATTGACAGAAAATAAAAAAATAATTTTTCATTTAAATTGCTGATGAAACCGGCTGTTAGAAATATTCTTTATTTAAAGAGCAAAAACCACCGATTTCATTTTTCATTTCGCGAAAAAGAGTTCGAAATATGTAAAAAGCATGCATCTCGCAGAAGCCTGTACTCATTAAGTATCCAATAGAATACTCGATGCTACTCAAAGTATATAGCTAGGGAATACTCGATTTTACTTGTACTCGAAAGTACTCAGACGAGACATTTTAGTTCCAGGACCGTTAACAATAGAACAACACACAGTGGAGAAAGGTGATTTTTTTGTGGGAAATAAGAGTTCATGCCTTATAGCCCGAACACAATGAAAACGACGAGCTATGGACCACAGCTGTCAAATTATTTTTCCACATATTCTTATGTAGATAATTTTTTTAACGACGACAGGGCTACGCGACGACTGTAGTTGTGGCCAGATTATATCTATTTCTATTTTTTTTTTTTAATTCATACAAATTCATGATGTCGCTGCCGCTTTCTAAGAAATCATCGACTAGGCGTTTAGATAATGAAAATAACAGATTAGAAGCTGTGGCCCGTAGCTACGACTTGTGTTCTCCACTTTTGTGCGCTCTTTTAGTTTTAACCCTAGCAAAATCAAGTGGTTAATATCTTGAATAGTTTTTTTTTTCAAAAACTACAACGCAGACCTATTTTCAGTTGATTTTGCCAAATTCGCAAACAAGTAAATACTTGCACTTTGTACTCGATACCCATGAATTATTTGTACACGAGTATCGAAGTACAAAAAGTAATCGGTACTTGGTAGAGGTACTCGAGTATATGATTCTAAGTACTGTTATCGGAACACCACTAGTTACAGGTCAAGGCAGCGTATTTTTTTTATAATTTTTTTTTTTTAATTTAATATGGTTTTAGTTATTAGATTCCATTGTCATAAAAAGAAAAAAATATATTTTATTAATTTCATTTAATTTTGAGAAACTTTTTGTTTTTTTTTTAAGATTTTATTGTTTAAAAAGATTTATATTATTTTTATTTCATTAAATTTTTAGAAATGTATTTTATTAATTTCCTTTTTTTTAATAAACTGTTATTTTTTATTTTTTCAACTTAATTTTCTTTTTGGTTTTAGATCTTTTTGTTTTAGGAAGACAATTGTATGTTTTATCGCATATAATTTTTAGGATCTCATTTTATTTTTTTGTCTTTTTCTAATATAATTTTTCTTTAATTTTTACAAAAATAAAAAATGTATATATTTTTTAATTCTATATCATTTTTAAGTACTATTTAATCCTTTTTTGATTTAGTTTTTGTTTCAAATTTAATTTTCAGATTTCATTGTTTTAATTTTTCCTAAGAAACAAATCGTAGTACAAAGCATAATAACATTGCTAAAAAAATTAACTTTTTTAATTAAATTTGAGCTTTAAAAATATTTTTAATCATTATTCCGTTATTTTTACTTTCTTATTATCTTTTAATTTTTAATTAATTTAATTTATTTAAAATAAAAAAATGATCGCTAAAAGGCGAACAGCATAATGCTGAGACCTTCTCGTTAGCAGATCTTTCAATTAGTCTTTCAAAAAACATTAAACAGCTTTCAGGATAGTTGATAGAATTTACAATTGTCTTACGAAAGACTTTTGTCTTGTTAAAGATTATTTTACACGGTTTAAAATTTTGTATTATAAAAATACGGTAACACCGTGCTGGATATTAGGCTACTGTGGAATCAACGGCAATGATGTTGTTGACGAAGGATTTTTAATTGTGTTTGTACCGAAACCATGACCTTTGAGAGCCGTAATTCCTGACTGGGTACACTCTGAACGCAGTAAGTACCAGGGAAAGGTAGAATATGACCATAGGAGGGCCGCGGTCTTCGGTTATCTTTTGAGAGAATATTTTCTATAAAATTGAAATGAAATCGGACTTCTCTGTGGGTACCTAACTGGTCACAACCGATTACGATTTCACATGCACTGTGATCACTCGGCCTTGGCCCGACAAAGATCAATTAATTTTAAAGCTCCAATGCCTAACCCTTCGTACCAAGGCCTTTAGGTTTCATTAAGGAAGCGGGCTTTTTGGGTCTGGTACCTTCTTCAGAGATAAAAAAGTTATTGCCTTGTCAGAGGTCGTTGTGAACCATTTGAGCAGCTTCTTGCTATGGCTTGGCTATAAGTAGCTGACCTCCTTTCATGCTCATAGCAGTGTACGTACTTAAGTACGGATCGCAAAGTTTACTTAATTAAAAATGCGAGAAACTATATAATGCTGATTTCGTCACAAAAGTTTTTCAGTTTTATACTAAAACTTTATGACTTTTAGAGAATCGTCATTTCGTCGGCGGTATGCATATCTGAAATAAAATACCCCTTAACATTAATGCCACTTCAACTGCCTCTGCAGGTGACATGTGTGCCATGAAATATCTTAAGTGCAAACAAGTAAGAAAGTCTAAGTTCGGGCGAAGCCGAACATTAAATACCCGGCGCAAGTATTAAATATATGTTTTTTCACCTTTCCGAAACCTTCCGCTAGATGGTAAGCCGGGGTGTATCAATTTTGAGTAAATTAGCGTCCTTCAATTTCGAAATATTG